AGGTCGCCCGTCAGCCCGCAGCTGCAGCAGCAACACCAGGCGGCCGCCGCCTTCCTGCAGCAGAGGAACTCCTACAACCACCACCAGGTACGCGGGGGTCGGGGACCTGGCCGCGGGCTTTGCACCCACAAGCGGCGCTGTGGGCCCGGACCCTGGACCCTGGGCGCTGCGGTCAGCGGGGCGGGGTTGTCGGCGAGGCTGGAAGCTGGGCTCCGGTGGGAACCCAAAGCAGATTTGGTTTCCTTCGAACCTACGCTCTTCTAGAGTTAGATGCAGGGCTTCTCAGGGCCAGGTGGGCACGTTGAACCCACCAGGCGGGTTCTGCGGGAGAAAGACCTGGCGATCTGCCTCCCTAAAAATGACAGTTCGAAGGCAAACCCAAGGGGAGAGTTCTACTCTGTGACTAGGATATGAAAATGGACTCAGTGGCCACCTGACCACTACCAAGGACTTTCCAGCGGTGCCTGGTCATCTGAAGTCACCTCTGGGACACGTTTGAAGGATCGAGGCTCGCTGTCTCCTAGTTCTGTCCTCTCCTCTGGGTGGCTGCGGGTTTAAGCGTCCTGGTGGTGGTTTAAGCCCGTCCGCGGAGTGTTGTTGAAGACCGTTTTCCAGGCTCACGGTAACATGGGTAAGGATGGACAGAGGCGAGAAAGCAGGGACCCCAACCACCTTAAAACTACTCCTGGTTTCCACTGAGCTCAAGTCCTGCCCGGGTTGAAATGAGCCAAATACCAGTGACCGGCACTTGTCCAATGGTCAGTTTCCTACGGGAAAGGAGAAGGTGGCTTATTGTTGTTGTTAGGTGCCGTCGAGTCAGTTCCGACCCATAGCGACCCTGTACAGGGTTTCCGAGGCTGTAAATCTATATGGGAGCAGGCTGATAAAGGAGCTCAAATAGAACCTTGAGAAAGGGCACTCGACCTTGCCATGATTTACAGAATCCTGAGCGATGTACTCGGTGTCCACACTTCCAGAGTCTTCGTGTGTCAACCTGCAAGTCAGCTGCAGAAAAGGATCGGCATTTATTTTATTATTATTATTATTTCGTCGTGAGAGAGGATGTTAGAAGAACGTACATCGTGATCCGTGTTCTATTATCGGCTTTGGGAGGAAAGATGGATCATGTATTGGCGCATCAGCGGTCACATAGCTTTCACAAGGGATTTGAGAGAACTGGAGGAGAACTTTAAACATTGAATCTAAAACAGCAAGGAAAGGAAGCTGCTCAAGGTGCTTTAGATAGGAACTCTGTGCAGAAGAAAAGGATAGTATATAGCCCTAATTATTTCACATGTGCAAGTTTCCAAAAATACGTACTATGAGTCAATTTTTAAAAACAAACTATCTTGTAAAGAAGCAGGGTTTGACTTTGAAGCGCTGTATTTATTGACAACAGGCTTTATGTATGCTTCCTTTTGCTAAATCTCAGCCCGAATTCTTTAACATATCAAACCGCAACGAAAAGGATTACTGTGAGTAGAGTAGATGACAATGAATACTTCTGGAAAAATCTAAAATTGCAGTCTTTTGGGAGCCTTTCCAGTCTTTGAACATTTTCCTTACCAGAGGTTCAAGAGTGAAATAGAATTTGCTTTTGAAAATGAATGAACTAAGTGAAGACTTGTGTTACTAAGACCTGTACTAGAATAATCAAAACATACAGTTGTTTATTGTTAGGGGATCTCAGTGGATCCACCTAGGGGTAACATCAGATAATTGCTTAATAGTTCATGGATAATTAGTGAAAGAAAAACCCAAACACTTTACAAGCACATCTACAAGGAAACTAGAATAAAATACTTGAAGAGTTTATTTCCCATTTTGTTCCTGTTCCAAAAGGCATTTCTAATCTGTGCATCAGAGGAATCCCAAGCATTACTGTTATCCACTTCTGTAACAGCACAATGTGTTTTGGAATTCCAAAGTCTAAATATTTTAACTCATGTGGCTGAGGAATTTTAATTAATAAAGACCCTATATTTAGTCTTGTGCCTTGCAGAATATGGTTGCTTTAGGGTCATAATGTTACTTTTTATATCTTTAAGGATCTTCAAAATTAAAGTCTATATTTTAAAAGTCTATACTTTTTTTCTCTATGCTTATCATGTATATATGGACTCCTGGTGTGGCGCAGTAAGATCAGCACTGGACTGGGAACCACAAAGTTAGCAGTTCAAACCCACCAGCTGCTCATTGGAAACCCTATACAGGGTCACTATGAGTCAGAAGTGACTTGATGGAACAACATCATGTATATACAGTTTCCTCTGAAATGGGAGGGGATGATAATTTTATCTTACAAATTGCCACAAAATATATAGTTGATTCATTATAATTCATGGTTAACAAGATGGTGAAAATTTATTGATAGCAATGAATAAATGTTTACAATCTTGCAAGACTATTACTTTTTGTAAAGTAGTCAAAGTGTATCTCACTACCTTTATATATTTCACTTATTTTGCAGTCATATCAACATCTGAATTGAATGTCAATTATACACACTTGAAATGCCTATACTTTAAATCCATATGTTTTCTCTAGCCTCTTCTGAAACAATCTCCTTGGAGCAACCATCAGAGCAGTGGCTGGGGCACTGGAAGTATGTCCTGGGGAGCAATGCATGGCAGAGATCATCGTAGAACTGGAAACATGGGAATTCCAGGAACTATGAATCAGATCTCTCCTTTGAAGAAACCGTTTTCTGGTAATGTCATAGCCCCACCAAAATTCACGCGATCCACTCCATCGCTGACCCCAAAGTCTTGGATTGAAGATAATGTATTCAGAACAGACAACAATAGTAATACACTCTTACCCTTACAGGTAAGAATGGTATGTAAATGACTAATTCTCATGTTAATCTCTCAACATAGAAAATTGGGTGGTGGTAGTATTAGTGTGATAAAATTAACAGGTTAAAGAAATGAAGCTCTGTTTTTTAAGTATAGAGTTGAATTATCAAAAAATGTAATTGAACATGTAAAAAAAAAAAATTCTCTAAACTCACAGTGGAAAATAAGCTTCAGAAAAACCTGTTTGTTTCCTAATCTATAGTGAAGCTCTTAATTGGCAGCATTTTAAGAGTTTTATTTATGTTCAGTAGGCCGCCAAGAGAATTAAAGTAAAAAGCGCCATAGTTGCTGTAATTGTGTGTAAATTTTGCTACTATCAGTTGTCTGTAGATTAGGAAATGTTTAATGCAGCTGTGATTATGGCAAAATGATGTCAGGGCTTTTTATATTAGCTTTGCATTTGTCTTCCCTGATACAGTGTCTCTCTTTTTCTAAATGTGGCCTAATGCTTACAGTGATGAGACATGTTTTTTTAGGCCTTTTATATATTTGATATTACAGGCTAATGAAATTTATTGGTGGCTGTTTTAAATGACTTTTTGTTCTGTTTGTTTGTTTTGCTGTAAAACCTTTAGATACTAGATAGAAAGAACTTTGCTGGGTTTTCCTTTTTTGTTGTGGGTGGGGATGGGGAAGAGAACTGCTCCTTTCTGATGTAAACTTCTATGCTATTGAAGGTGAGATCTAGTTTGCAGTTGCCAGCTTGGGGCTCAGATTCACTCCAAGATAGTTGGTGCACTGCAGCCGGAACATCCAGAATAGACCAGGTAGGCTGCACAGTGTATGTTTTTCAGGATTTTGACTAGGAATTTAGTATTTACATTATGATGAAAATTTACTATTTTCCAGCTATGCCTATTTAAGTGTATGTCAGAGGACATGTAAGCAATTTGTTTTCCAAGGGTCACTTGATTGAAACAGTTTACATGTAAAATGCTTTATTTTCCAATTTTAAAATAATCTGTAATCATTGGATGTTGCCAAAACATACTAAATTTGTTTCTGAAAAAGTGAATTCATAAAATTTGGGGTTGTAAACGCACCTGACTTTAAACATCAGCGGAGCTGAACAGATTGTATCTTCTCTCAGAATTAATTGCAGTCAGGTACAAAGTCACCTGTCTAATTAGCATTCAACTTTCTAGTTCATGAATGTTTTACAGACAAGTTTTAGTAAGCCTTTTCATGATATAGGTCCTGAATATTTCTACTAAAGCCCTTAGTTGAGTTTTTTCACCTTTATAAAGACCTTTATTAAGTAGCATTTACGTCATTCTAAATATGTCATCCTAAATTTTATGTTTGCATTTTTTGTCTTTTACCAAATTATCAGTTTCCTGTAGACTCATTCTGAGTCAAAAGCTAAGAGTCAATCTTGCTCAAACTAAGTTCAAGCCCTGAATTGCTACAAAATACTAATTTAAAACAGATTGAATTGACATGTATTTTGGCACCTGGTGATGAAGATGAATGGCAACGGAAGAAATATGTCTTACATATGAGAATTCTGTCTTACAAAGTCTAAATTTGAAGGGACAAAGATTTAACATTATAGAAATCCACCGAATAGAACTGTTATCCCAAAGTGAAGTTCTTCCTTGGTTAATTTATTAGCATGAGATTTTACAAATACAGAGTGTATAAATAGCAAATGAATAATGCATTCCTGAATAGCATTGCCATCTAAATAGCTTTGTAAACTAGCTTCAGTAATGATTCACAAGCAGCTGTTTTAGACAAGTTCCAAGTTTTTACCAAAGTAGCCTTGTTAGGTGCTCTCCTTAGAAAACCCACTGCTGTGGAGCGATTCCACCTTGTAGCAACCCTTGTAGGGCCAACCCTATGTCGAGTTTCTTAGATTGTAAATCTGTAAGAATAGTTAATCTCCTGGCGGATTCGGCTGGTGGATTTGAACTGCTGACCTTGTGATTAGCAGTTTAGTGCGTAACCCACTCTGTTATCAGGGCTCCTTAGAAATACTAGTTCACTTCTATAATTTGCAATGTATTGTCTTAACTAATATAAGTTAGCTATCCATCTTTTTCTATTTTCTTTTTTACTCTGGTCCAGTTAGGCCATATTAGTAACATTTTAATAGTAGCACTGTTGTTCAAATTGAATAAAATAGATGCCTTGAAAATGGTTTGTTACAAGAGGAGAAGTATAATTACTTTGAAGATGATGAGGACATGTTTATAGAGAGGAAGTGAGATGATTATTCTAAGAGTAAATTTAGGGAGAAAGAGCAGATTACATATATGAGAGGGATATAGATCTATGGTGGAGAAAGAAAACACATGAATTAGTATAAAAGGCCCATGGCTATTGACAAATGAGGTTCCTGAGATAGTTTCAGTTGGTGGGGGAGCCCATGGAATCACCATGGGAAGAAGGCTCCAATCCTCACATTCCAACTGCAGCCTGAGCTACTATGTTCCAATCTGCTTATAAAAGATAAGCCTTGTAAATCCTATGGAGTACAGTTCTACTCTGCAAAACCCGGGGTCACTGTGAGCCAGTCAGCTGCACCACAGCCCCCACCAACCTGCCTAAATATGTTTTTTTGTGTTTGTTGTTGGTAAATTGCTGAGGTATTGGTCCTGGTGTGGCGCTGTGGGTTAATGCACTGGACTGCAAAGTCAGTTTGAATCACAAGGTCGTAAATTCAAGGTCACTAGCTGCTCCTTGGAAACCCTATACAGGGTAGCTATGGTTCGGAACCGACTCGATGACATTCAACAGTGACAACAACAACAGTGGATGCTGGGGCAGAGGTGTAATGTGATAAAGATTGAAGATAGTGGAAAGTGACATGAACAAGACGGAAAGAGATCAGAGACCTGGATCCACCTCTTTGTCCCTTTACAGTCTTTGTGGCATTGGATAAGAGCATTTGTGGGCTTTCATCTCTGAGGGTCATCATGCCTGATCCATGGGGAAGAACACTAAACCATCTAAGACCTGGTAGCTAGCTCTTATCCTTCCTCTGATTGGTTTGGGTTTTTTGGCCACTCTTTCCCCTTTTCTGTCCCCTCCGCTCATTTTTAGAATGCAGGAGACTTGGTTTCTTGGGGGGTGACAGGATGGGCAGTGGTTCAAGGTGTAGTGTATGACCTCCCAGCTGGTCTTAAAGCATCCTGAGGGTGGTCATTATAAATAATTTGTTCTGTGTTTCCATCTTTCCATAAAAGGTAGAAGTATTTGAAGCTGAGGTTCTTAAAAATACAGCAGCAACTGCAAACTGGGCTTGGCATTTTATAGTAGTTGGGTAGTTCCTCATCATTGGGAGAAATTAAGATAATAGAAAACACTTAGGCTCTTAAATACCTAGGTACAATTATTTTCAGTTCTGTCTTTTTTAATGTATAAAAACATTTTGATGTTTTTTGAAATTATTATATCTTAGTTAACAAATTATGTAAAAACACTTAACTTTTGATGTCTTCTAGTCTCAAGCTGATTAGGCCTAAAATATAGTAACTTCTATAACTAAAGACGTAATTCTTATACTGTGTATGTATGTCAGTCTTGAGCTAGGCATGTAATTGAATTCAATTAATGATAGAGATTTCACCCTGGAGTTTGCTTTGATTTCAGTTGTGTATAAAATTTTGTGAGTTGACATACTTTGTATCTCCTGTTTTGTTTTTTAATGGGAAAGCTTCAGCTGAAAACTTTGTAAAAACATTAGTGGAAATGTAATATGCATTTCTGCTTTGAAATTACTAGATGTTTCTCTCTCGTATCTTTAAGGCTGAGAATTACTTCAAAACACTGCTAGCTAGTTACCCTTGGCAGAAACCTTGGGAGAAATCAGAATCCTAAGTGTGAATTCTAATTTAACCTAAAGATGGAATTTTTAATCAGATACACTATATTTAGTCATTCATACTTGAATATTTTATATCAAAGACTAAATGTATTTTTAGCTGCGATAATGACTACTTAGAAGTTTGCTGTAAACAGCAGTGTCACGCTTTTCGAACGATCATACAGCAGGCAGAGCCACATGCGTGTCAGCCTGTCGTCTAGCAGTGAGACTGGCAGCGTATGCAGCTCTAGACTCTGGCCTTTGCGGAGTTGACTGGACGGCACTTACCAACAGCACTATGCTATTGTGAGAAGCAGTAGTTTAGGCTTCTCTCGTACTGAAATAACTTACTTGAAGTCTATATTCACCATATACAAAATCATTCTATAGTAGCAGACCAAATCCACTTTTTCATCTAATAAATCAGTCCTTAAATTGTGATGCTTAGGTCAGATGAACTTCAGGGACATTGATAGACATCAAAAAACTGTTTTTAGAAAAACAGCTACAGAAACCAGTACTATCAAGTCGTTTCCAACTCGTATCTCTAACTCATCTCGGAGCCCTGTTGATGTGTTGGGTCAAGTGTTGTACTGCTGCCTACTCCTGTGATGATTTGCACCCTCCAAACCTGTCTGGACTTCTACTTTGTCCTCTAGGGTCACAACGAGGCAGGATTGACTTGAGGAGCAATGGCTGTTGTTTACTATATCTTGTATTCAATTCTTTGGGGTGGCTTGTTAAATTCTTACACCAAGCATTGTCTTGTTTTTTCCTGTTTCGTTGGATATAGAATAACCTCAGACCTTTTTAGTGACCTTTCTTTTCAGTTACTATGTATATTGTTTCCATCTAAAGAGTGACTATCATAGCACTTTGCTGAAGTTCAGAACTAAGAAAAGAAATAGTAGGAGTCAACTTGAGGCCCCGTAGGATTAGCACTGGACTGCTAACCACAAGGTGGATGGTTCAGACCCAACATTCGCCCCTCAGAAACCCCTGACCGTGTGGCTCTGAGTTGGAACAATTTGAAGGCACTGAACAACAACAACAACAATGTGCATTAATTGTAGTGTTTTCATCACTGGGGGTGGATAGGGGAGACCTCTGTGTGGTGAGGGACCAGTTGGCTAAGTAAGGGGTATCCATGTGAAACAATTAGAGAAGGGCGTAAGAACATGTGCAGCTGAGTGTTACATTGTGTAACAAAGCAGAGTAACATCTCAGCTGCTGCGATTTCAAGTTGCTGCAGTCAGTATAGCAGGGTGATCAGGAAAGTCTAACTGGTATTGTTTTTAGCATTTGGGACAACTTTGTTCTCTATTTTAATGTAAAACTTGGAGTGCTAAACACAAGCATGCTCAAAGCTGTTCTTTTTACTTAGGCAGAAGAATAGTGTTCAGGTATCTGAAAATAGTAGAACATTGGGTTTTTCTATAATCCAGTTCTGTGACAAATACTGCATTTCCAAGAATAGAAAAGGCCTGACATTTGAAATATATCAAAGTCAGGCTCGTAATAACAATATTTCAAAAAACAACCTTTAATTACATCTGAGTTCCTTTTATTGTACTGCTTCTAATAGTGTGTACCGACCTTCTTTGTTATTTATTTGCTTATCTATCTATCTATCTATCTATCTATCTATCTATCTATCTATCTATCTATCTATCATCTATCCATCCATCCATCCATCCATCCATCCATCCATCCATCCATCCATCCATCTATCTATCTACCTGTCTATCTATCCATCTATCTATCTATCTACCTAGTTATTTAATGTTTTACTGTGAATTATGTGATACTTTACATGGGAGAACATTACTTCTACATTCATCCTAACATACATTGCTATGATTACAATCCCCTCCTTGCTTCATCAACCAACCAAAGGGCGACCTTCTTACTTATTTTGTAACATTTGTGATCTTTTGTTTTTGGCCAGTCTCTTTA